GCACGGCCAGGACGGCGTCGAAGCGCTCCAGGTTGTCGGGCAGGTCCTGCGGCGCGGGGCCCCGCCGCACGCCTCTGCCGTCCGCCGACAGGACCAGCTGGGGGTGGGCGGTGGCGGGGTCCAGGGTCACATCCGCTGCAGGGGGGAAGGGAGAGAGAATCAGAGCGTCAGGGGCAGAGCTCAGCCCTGGAGGAGGCCGGGGCCATTTCTCCCCCGCCCACTAAACAAATCAAATGAGGTTTTTCTGCACGCAGCCAACCTGTGGAACTCCTCGCCACAGGATGCTGTGAAGACCAGGACTTTAAGAAGGTTCAAACAAGAGCTGGATAAATTCATGGAGGTTAGGTCCATCAGTGGCTGTTAGCCAGGATGGGTAAGGAATGGTGTCCCCGGCCTCTGTTTGTCCGTGGCGCTAGCTCTGATTCCGGGGGAAGTCTCAGTATGGCTGGATCAATTGGCCACCCAGGGTTGAGAGGTCTGAGGGCCAGGGTGAAGGGAGAGAGGGTTCCCTGGGAGCTGAGCTGCCCAGGAAAGATTAAAATGCGTCCCAGCGGATCGCCCGTAGCATGTGCTTCTCTGGGTGGTGCACATCGGCACACACCTTGGCGCATAGAATAAAAATGATACCGCACATAACTGGGGGAAAAACCTGTAACAATCACAAATTAACCCGCTGCAGGGGCTGCCCCACCAACCCTAGGTCCTGTGCCCGTCCCCCGCCCGTGAGATTACATAAGCGACCCTCTTCCCCCTCCGCCCACACCATGCTGGGGATGACGCGGACCTATATTTTAATCCCTATAGAAATCAGTGCAACGTTTTCACCATTCCAGAAAAAATCCCGGGCTACCGTTTTTCGCCATTTCGTTCCCCCGCTTTCCCGAGCAACATCGTCTAACTCCGGCTAGTATTCCTATCGCTGAGTCGCTTGTGCGTTGGCCTCGATTAAAGCGTTGTTCTGCTGTCCGTGCAAACGACCCCGTGTGTCGAAACAGGGCTGTATCCCTTTGCACGGCTTCCCGGCACGATCTCGTGAGCAAGGGTCCTCTGAGGGGCTTTTACTGGCGCCGCTCGGATCTAAACACCGAGCCACGGGACAGCCGGGAACAGCACGTGGGGGTCCCTTTCTTGTCGGGGTCACCTTCTTACCCCCTGGCGGTCGCTGGGTCGGATGCCTGCCCAGACTCACCTTTTCTTCCTACGGTGTCCGCGCCCCACGCCGGGGATCTCCCCACGCCGGTCTCCAGACCCCTCGCCAGTGTCTCTAGAGGGGGGAGACACCAGACGGTCATGACGGAGGCCGGGGGGCTGGACCCGATGACCCCTCGAGGTCCCTTCCTGCCCTACGCGTCTAGGATGGCCGTGTTTAGCTTTGTAAGGGACAGGGGCGGAGGGGAAACTTGCGGAGCCAAGCCAGGTGAACGGGAAAGGGAATCTGAGCTAAGCCCTGCCCCTCGGTGTGAATCCGGCGGACGACGGAGGAAGTGACCGAGACGCGGGGAAGGGGGGAAGGCGCGAGGTCTACAGGCGGATGTCTAGAAGGCCGAGGCGGTGATGTACCGCCGACGCTTTCCTGCAGGAAGCCAGAAACCTCCCTGTGCGTGGAGGCGGCGGACAGGCAGAAGGCAATAGAACCTCGTGGGTTCGGAAGGGGAAACTGAGGCACGGGGGGAAAAAGGGGAATGGATTTTTCCCGGCTCGCTCACCGGTGTTCGGTGGAGGAGCCAGAACAAAACCCAGGTCTGCCGACGGCCGCCCCGCGGGG